CGCTAAACAGACAAAAACAAAGAGTGGAAGCTAACGCTAACTGCTAAACAGATAAAAACAAATAATGGAAGCTAACGCTAAACCACTAAACAGACAAAAACAAAGAGTGGACGCTAACGCTAAAGCGCTAAACAGATAAAAACAAAGCATGAAAGCTAATGCTAATCGCTCAGACAGTAATACTGGTGGGACACAAACCTGTTTTTTTTATTAGTTTCATGTGAAGGTGGGCGGGATCATCTGTGGCAAATCGGCCAATCCAAACCAGTTAAAGCTCTGTCTAACTTACAATACTTCCTGTGTACCACTTTCAGAATAAAAGCATTTCTTTGATCGAGTATTTTTTATAAATACAACAAATAGCAAATACTTTATCACATTTATATGTTGTCAATTTTGGTGTTTATTTAAATATTGTTAAACTTTATTTTTGATGCTCTTAAATTTGAAGTTCAGCTGCTAAAGATGCTACATTTTAACATACGGTGCCTGACATGTCCGGCACTGCTTGTGAGAGGGGATTATTTTTATTTGAGATAAATGACAAATATAGTTTTACACTTGTGATTTTTTAAATTACTTAAAATTAGCAGAACCTAATTTAGCTGATGCTAATCTGTCCGCTAACAGTTTCCCAAGTTAGCAAAAAAGCTTATCCGCTAAATGAGAAGCTAGTTCAGCTATTAGCGGATTAGCAGAACTGACAGAAGGTGAAGAATGCTAACGTTACATTGTGAGAACTCAGAGTCTGTTTTGGGGTGGCTCAGCTACCACCACACCAAATTTTACTTCAATATTTGTAAAATGAAATAACAGCCATTTTGGTGTTAAAGTCAATTAGCTATAGGCTAATGTAATAAAATCCAGTTATTACTTTGAACTTCATACAAATTTAACTCACGGTTCATGGAATATTTTGCTAAAATTATCAGAACCTAATTTAGCAGAAGCTAATCGGTCCGCTAACAGTTTCCAAAGTTAGTAAAAAAGCTAATTTGGTAAATAGGAAGCTAGTTCTGCAATTAGCACATTAGCAGAACTGGATCCAGGTTCCCACCTTTTTGGTAATTTCACAATAAAACCACCTTGGTCTGATGAAAACTCAAAACATTACCCTCAGTATCACTTCCTGATTGGTAATCTTCATTCAAAATGTCTTTAAGTGCTGGAGTTTGGCGATTCAGTGTTTTTCCCTGAAGTCATTTCAGCAGAGACGCTTGCTGTCACGAGGACTAACAGCAACACAGAGGATGTTCCCTGCAGCAGTCGGACTGAGCGGAGCATCCCGTCAAACGGTGACAGGGCCTCCCCGTTGGAATTAAACCCCCGTGTCATCCTGCATGAAGCTCTAATGGAGCGGGCCACGCAGGAAGCAAAAGCTACAAAGCAGAATAAACAGTGATAATAATATCCAGTGGCTGCCGGCGTCGTTTTTCTTCTTAACGACTCGCTGAGAAGAAGCTAAAGCCCGTTTCTCTGCACCACTTTCTTAACACCCTATAAGCTGCTTTCTGCGTGAGCCTGAAGCTGTTAAAACCTGCCACGACTCTGCCTGTCGGYGCTCTGCAGAGGAACCGCGGTGGGAGGAATCCGTCACGCTAACTTACAGCTCACTTGGTGGCAGGAACAGAAGACTTCATTATGAGAGAGCAAAACGAGAGAGGAGGTCACGAAGCGATGCAGAGTTTGACTTTCATCAGTGCTGACTCAGCGATCCCGCCGTTTTCCTGCTTATTGTTTTATCTGCATGATTTATGAACAAACTGAGCTGCTTCAGCACAAAATACATCAACATGTTCAGTTAATATTTAGCTCTATTTCAAGATAAAAACATCTTTAGTTCAGAACATTCTCTTCAAAACTACTTCGGCTACTGCACCCTTTAGCTTTCAGCCATCATTCGGCACCCTTTAGCTTTCAGCCATCATTCAGCACCCTTTAGCTTTTAATCGTTTAATTTGACTCATTTGAGCAACTAGTTTGCTGCTGTTTGCTGCGCTACTTTTAGCTAAATATTTGCTTACTGTTGTTTAATTTCAGCTTTAGCATCTGTTTTGTTATTTTTACCTTTTCATGTGTTCTACTACTTTTAGTAACAGATTTGCTAATAGTGAGATTTGTTTAGCTACTTTTAGAAAGATTTTTATACATAGTAGCATTTGTTTAGTTATTTCTACCTGTAGAATTTGTTCTGCTACTTTGACAAACTATTACAGGTTTGTTAACAGTAACAATAATTTGGCTACTTTTAGCTTTAGCATTCAGTTAGCTATTTTTTGTATCTAATTAGGTCATTTTCAGCTTTTGATCTGGTTTTTTTTTACTTTTAGTTTCAGGTTAGCTCGTAGGAACATTTAGTTTTAGCTTTAGCATCTTGTTTGCTAGTTTTAACATCTATTTTGGTTATTGTAGCTTTAGCAATTGTTTTGCTACTTTTAGCTTCTGATTTGATAATAGTGACATTTGTTTTGCCACTTTAAGCTACTACTTTGTCAGATAGTTTAGCATCAGTTTTGGTGATTTTTAGCTTTACCATCTGTTGTGCAACATTTAGCTTCAAGTTTGATAATAGCAAGATTTGTTTAGCTAAATTTAGAAATATTAGTAGCCGTTGTTCAGCTACTTTTAGCTAGAAGTTTATTATTGTAGAATTTGTTTTGCTACCTTTAACTTTAGCTGTTATTTTCTAATTTTAGCAACTGTTTTGCTAATAGGAACATTTAGTTTTGGCAGCTAGTTAATTTTAGCATCAATTTTGGTCATTTTTTAACATTAGCATCTGTTCTGCTACTTTTAGCATCAGGTTTGCTAACGGCGAGATTTGTTTGGCTATTTTTAGAAACATTAATAGCATTTGTTTTTCTAGTTTCAGCTTCAGCGTCTGTTTTGATATTATTAACTACAAATTTTGTTCTGCTACACTAGTTACAGGTTTGCTAATAGTAAAATTTTCTTTGCCAGTTTTAGCATCTATTTTTCTGAGTTTTACCTTTAGCATTTGTTGCTACTTTTAGCTACAGGTTTACTAATAGCAGCATTTGTTTTGCTACTGCTTTAGCAGCATGTTGGCAAATTTTAGCATCTGGTTTGTTAAATTTAGCTTTATAGTAAGTTTTACTACTTTTAGGTAACTTATAGGAAATGGTAGCATTTGTTTAGCTGCATTTAGCCTTAGCTAAATGCAGCTAAACAAATAAATAAATTTAAATTTGTTGCTCGTAGTTTCTCAGCCTCTGTTCTGCCCATTTTAACAGTTTTAAGTCATTTCACGCTGCACGTTCACAGAGATAAATATAAACTGTGTGAACCCCTGCAGCTGACTACAAACCTGAAAAAGGAAAGCCAACAGTGAGCGGTACAGTGAGGATGATTTCAACTTTAACAGAGCGGTAAATCACCGGTTTGGCTCTGTAATGATGGGGACGCTCAGGATAATACCACAGAAGACCCCGAGCCCCCCCCCCCGCCGCTGATGTACGGCGTGCCTCGGCTATATTTGAACAGCCTTGTGAGTGATGGAGACAGAAGCACGAGGGAAGCAGCAGCAGCTCCTTCCTGTTCCTTCACTCCTCACATCCTGCCTGTGAAGCTGTTAAAGCTAACACGTAATCCCAATGGCAGCTCTGTGAATTTACACATCAAAGCCCGATTTAGCTGTTGATTAGCCGCGCCGAGCTAACTTCACCTCATGTTCTCCATCTATTGTCTGATGCCTTCTTCCATAAAGACACTGATATGATTGGAGACAAAAACCTTTTGTGTGAAGTGATGAYGCTTAGATTAACTTATGAAGTCTAATTCAAGATGGCTGCCAGTGCAAATCAACACCAACGCATTAATGATATAACTCTAAAATTTGTTGTGGTGGTAGCTGAGAGTCATACCTAACAGCAACTCTGAGCACAACGTCTTGGATCAAATCGACCAAAATGAGGAAGCTGCTCGATTGGTGATTGTTGCTGTTTAGTGGTTGGTTCAGCAGCAGGAGCAGCAGCGAGGAGCAGTGGGAGGGCAGAMGAAAACAATCCAAGAATGAGGAGGTGGCAGAAGCCCGCCTCAAGGAATTCTGGGAGATTAATAATAAACCTGCAGGACTCGCTGCCAGATGGATTATCGCCACACTTACTGTGTTGGACTTTTACAGTTAGAGCTCAATATTAGGGTTACTACAAATATATTTACTACAAATATAAAACCAACGTCCACAGGGAGACGGCCTCCAGTTCACAAACTCATTAAGGTTCCTGGGATCGTCTCAGCAACCGCTCTCCAGGCTGACGGAGAAATAAAATCTAAATCTGTTTCTGCTTCGGTTGGACGCCATCATCAGGTTTCAAATGATTAGCTTTTTGAGCTAACCGCTAACGGCAGCCATGTTGAACTGGAGTTTATTGATTTAAAGTGTCTGCGACGTGCATATCCTTCAAATACAGAAAGTCAAAGAAAACATCTTTATAAATAAGGAAACTTGGAGTAAAACACATGATTTTAACTGTTGTCTCATTTTCTTTTGAACTTGAAACAGGAAGTGACATCAAAGGGGATCTATTAGATAAAAGGAACTGTCTGGCTCTTCTTCATCTCTGATAGTGACTCTAACTATTCAGATTCTTCTCTACAATCTGTGTTGTCTGTTATTGTAGCAACGCTCTGTTTACACGCAGACATTCCCCTTTGACATCACTTCCTGTTGCTTCACATGCTAATATCTCAACAGCTGTTCACATCAGCTGTGTTATTTTATTATTTGTTTTGCAGTATCTGTTATCTTTACAGAAATGTGTTCATATTTATTGTAAAACGTTGATGTCACAGTAGGGCTGTGTATTGGCAAGAATTTGGCGATATGATACATATCATAACAGAGGGGTCACGATATGTTATATCCCGATATATTGCGATACTGTAAGCAAGGCAATATATTGCGATTTTTTTTGTCCAAAAATGCTATTAAAAAAAACCTCTTACTGAAAAAATAAATAAATAAATAAATAAAAAGAAAAGCTAATGATTACTTACAATGCTAATTTCACCAACAGGTCCTTTTATATTGGAAACTCCTATATAACCATAACTTCACTCCTCACAATTCTCCCATTTGGAATAATAGATACATTACTGTTAGAAACAAATCTTTATTTTATAAGGAATGGTTAGATAAAGGTATTTGGTCACCAGTTCACCTTGTGGATAATACTGGCCAGTTCCTATCTTATAATGATTTCTGTCTTAAATATGGATATTTTACTAATGTAAAAACATTCAAGCTCGTTACCAAAGCTATTCCTGATTCTATTCTGCACTTGATTAAAGGTATTGTAACAACATCCACCAATTTCACATATCCTCAACTTCCTCTAATCTTAATTGGTGACTGTAATTTCAGAGAAATTCCAATTCAAAACAAAACTATTCGATATTTATTCATTCATATCTTGTTTCCTTTTCAGTCTTACAAAAACTGTATCTTAAATTTCTTTCCTAAAGATACTGTGCCTCTTTTGAGAGTGCAATATTTGAAGTTTCCTATTCCACCTAAAATGAAAGAGATTCATTACCGGACATTTAATGGTATTTATCCCTCTAATGACTTTTTGCATCAGCGTTTTGGATTTGAAACTAACTGCTGTTCTTTCTGTAATACTGATATCGAAACGACCGACCATTTATTTTTTCATTGTAATTTCTCTAGTACCTTTTGGCAAGATGTTTTTAAATAGTTACAACCTAGATTTTCTCAGCTGGGAAATTTTTGTCAGAAAGACATTATTTTTGGACTTATACTGGACTGCAAAAACACATCCCTTTTAGTGAACACTGTTATAATTCTTGGTAAATCATATATACACAAATCCAAATGTAAGAAAATATCGATACACTGAAATATCGCGATATTTCA